GGAATGCGTTAGCGGGCAGCCCACTGGGCACAGTCCGAGAAACCCTGGGACAGGATCTGGAAGTTTTCCTTAGGGCAAAAGAAGCCATGAAAAGAGCTTAAGCCGAGGGGTGACATGATTGGCATTGCTTTCAGTTCCAACATCTGGGTCACCTGTGGGTCTAATTCTATTTGCTAGTTTAAAATTTTGATTATGGGTGAAGGTTTTCTGCTTATTTGCATGCCTAGGGAATTTTGATTGAATGCTGGACGTTGTGCACAGACAGACAGTGAGCTTGAAATAGGTTATATGTGTGTATTTTCCATGAAGTGGGCACACACCCTCCTCTGTTGGGCCGGGAGGATGAGGGGCTCATTGTTTTCACCGGGAGTTGAGCTGGGCTGGGTAGCAGGATCGTTGGCTCCTGGGTCTGAATGTTTGGGTGGGGTCAGGCCCCTCCAGTGGGGCTTTGGGATCTAAGCCTCATCCAAGGCTGGAGACCTCTTGCCTCGCTCTGCTCCCAGACACTGCTCACTCAGCAAAAGTCCTGGGTGGGGGAATCAGCGGGTGGGGGAGATTTGTCTGGGGCTCATCTGTATTCCCACTCCCCAGGCCAGCCCACGCAGATGCTACATCTCGGCAGATTCCCTCACGCCCCTCTCCTTTCACGGATGCTCAGGCCTCTGTCCACCTGTGCTTGGGATGAGGATAAAGTGGCCAACAGCCTCTTCTGGCCTAGGAATCTAGGTCAGTTGTACACTGAGTCCTCAGCTCTTCAGAGGCTTTAAGTAAATCTGATTTTTACTGTTCATTCGATCTTGTCCTGTTAACGCATGAGTGACCGTCTCACTAGCTTCCACATCCTAAGTGGAAGCAGAACCTCAATGGATGTTTAAAGATCACCTTGGCCGCTGAGTGAAGGATGGGCTGGGGAGGGGGCAACGCTGGCAGCGAGACCAGCAGGGAGCACGGAGGTCTGGGGTGGGGTCAACAGAGAGAGGCGTGAGGACTCGAGGTATTCAGGAGTTGGGGGGCTGCCTGGCTGCGAGGGTGGCAGAGGGCCGAGGTCCCTTGGCTTCACTTTGGGGGATGGGACGCATGGCTGAGGAGTGCTGGGGCCGCAGAGCAGGCCAGGAGGGAGAGGCGAGGCGCCCCATGGGAGGCAACGTTCCAGCTGCCATTTTGTAACAATAATGAGGACCACAGGTGCTGGCCTATGCTGAGCACGCTGCAAGTCTCCCCTCCTTTGGGAAGAGGTGGACGGTGGTGGGCTCACCCTGGAATGGAGAGGGGCGGTGTGGCCTACGGACGGAGGACTGGGGGGATCCTGGGGGTCCTTGGAGGAAAGCAGCAGGACCCGTCGAGGCAGCAAGCCACAACTCGGGGGGCATGCAGCTGGCCCAGCGAAGAGAGAGGCTGCAATCCAGGCTGTGGAGGGGCTGAGGAGAGGGCGGCCGAGGCTGCCTTAAGCAGGGAGCTGTCCTGGCTGCCCTCCACTGGTTGGGAGGAGGGGTTGGGGCAGGGAAGGCCCAGCTGCCTGCCAGCTCAGACCCGGGGTTGGGATGGTGCGGGCCGCGGCCTCCTGGACGAGGCCTTTCTTCCCCTCACTCCCAGGGGGCCCTGCGGACTGGCCAGGCCTCCTGCCGCCTCTGCCGCCCACCCTGTCTCCAGAGTGTGTGGCCCTGGCGGGTGGACATATTTCTGGCCCCTGTGGGAGGTGTGGGTCAAGGCTCTGAAGGCGGCCGGTCCAGGGTCTCCTGGGACATGAGACCACGGGGAGCCTGCGCTGCACCTGGGGGTCCGTCTGCCCAGGGGAAGAGAGAGGGACAGGGGCAGGAGGCCACTTCAGTGACCCAGGAACAGACAGGCCCGAGGGGCGTGAGCCGTGACAGGTGGCCCAGCACAGACGGCGCCTGGATGGGAAGGGGCAATGCTGTGAACTGGGCTGTGCCCCAGGCGGGCACTTCAGGAGACCTGCGGGGGCACAGGCAGGCGGGCCGGGGGTGCAGCCGCTCTCCGGGGGACCCTGCAGGGCCGGAGGGGGCACTGCCCACCAGGAGGCCACTGCTGCCAGGCCCGTCTGTGTGAGGGCTGCTGTCTGGGCGTCTCCTCCACTCCGAGGGGTGCCCATGGCGAGGGCCAGGGCCGTAGGCAAGGTGCCCGACCCCAGTAGAGCAGGAGCCTTCCTGTCCCCCTCGCCTTGCTGACTCGGGCCCCCCCAGCCGCCAGCATCTTCCTCTGCCTGGCTCCCGTCGGGTGGCCTGGGGCCTGGACCCACTGCTCCAGCTCCTGCTGGGCTGTGTGTGCTGCTGCCTGCCCGGCCCAGGGTGCCCACCACTGTCCCATGGGGCTGGGCTGGGTAGGGAGGGGGCGCCGGTCTGGGTGCTGCCCTCTGACGGGGCGGCAGTGGGGGCCTGGCAGGATGCCCCAGCGGGGAGGGTGAGCCCTGGGCCCCCACCACAGCCTCTTCTCGGGCGCTGTCTGTCCACTCTTCCCCTCTGAGTGGCGTGTGGTCAGGGCCTGCCGTGGGCGTGTGCCGGTCTGACTCTCTTGGGTGCCCTAACCCAGCCCCCGCTTCCAGGCATATCTGGCTTCCCAGGTGCTGACCGTGCTCCCGGACGGGCAGAGGTCTTGGGGGCTGGGGAGGCTTGGACGCCCCCAGAGGGGCCGCTGTCTGGGGCGATCACCCTCACACCCAGCCCAGGGGAGGCCCCTGCTCTGCACCCAGAGGCGGGCGCACCTTGGAGGGAGATGGCTGCTCCTCAGGGACTGGGGTGAGGGGGCCCACCTCCCACCCTTCCTGGGCCAGCACATGGTGTGTGGACACAGGGCCGGGCCCGGTGGGGCAGCTGCCAGGGCACCCAGAGCCCCCAGGGCAGGGAGGCGTGCACTCCAGACGCGCAGCAGCCTGGTCCCCGCCGCCCGGCTCCTCCTGGGCTGCCCCTCCGCCCCCGGCCCAGCGTCTGCCACCTGCTCGGATGGAAGCCCCCAGCCCGCGTGACTCACCACCAGTGTCCAGGTTCCAGCTGGTGTTGAGCAGCGTCCGGGAGGCCTCGTGCCCGACCACACAGGTGTAGGTGGCAGCCACACGGCCCGGGAAGGCGGGGACGCGCAGGACGCTCCAGGTGCGGAACGAGGAGTTCTCAGGCTGGGCTGCGGGGCGCGCCGTGGCGGACCAAGAAGGGTCCACCTCGCGCTGCCCCTCCAGCCAGGCGAGGAGGACGCCCAGCGGTGAGAAGCTGGACACCTCGCACAGGAGCCAGGTGGCCTCCTCGGCAGCGTGCAGTGGACTGGGTGCCGTCAGGATGCGGACGGCAGGCTTGCTGGGCGCCAAGGCCTCTGTAGCGAGAAGCCCGGTCACGCTTTGGGCCGGGGGTATCGGGAGAAGCCGGGCGGCCAGGGGACGCTGGGTCCCACCCCCCGGGGTCCCCTGGTGGAAGGAGGTGGCCAGGGGCACTGCCGGCTGCAGTGTGGGGTGCAGGGGCCCCGCGGCTGCCCTGTATCCCCGGCCCAGGAGCCGCTCTCACCGTGTTCTCTCTGTGCCACCAGAGTCACTGGGGACTGCAGGCCAGGGCCACTCAGCGTGCAGGTGACAGGCGTCCCACTGGCCCACAAGGCCCTAGACAGGGCCAGGTGGCTGCTCCAGCTCCAGGACCCGTTGGTGTGCTCTTTGGGCCCCTCCTCCGTGTGCCTGCTCTGGGGCTGCCCGGCCACCTCCCAGGACAAGCGGGCCGCCTGCAGGTCGCCTCCCACCGCCAGGCAGGTGAAGGTGGCCTGACCCTGGAGCCACAGGCCCTGCAGGGGAGGGTGCAGCAGGTAGACCCTGGGGGGCTGGGTGTGGTTCCGGCACTCTGCAGGGGACAGGGACAGGTTGGCGAGGGTGCGTGGTGGTCCCTGGCGCGGTGGATGGGAGCGGGGTCGAGGGGTCGCCAGCGGCTCCTGGTGTCTTTAGTCACCGCCCAGCCCCAGGCCTGCCCTCTCCCCAGAGCCACCGGCCCTTGCTGCTTCCAGAATGGCAGTGGGCCGGTGACCTCCCGTTGCCCACAGCTGGGCTGGGGTCTCGCTTGTAGGCAGGCTCTCTCGGCCGCTGAAAGTTCTCCGCCCTTCCCCGCCCCCGCCACTTGGTTGCCCCAAGGACTGACCTCTGCAGGGGTCCTTTGGATTTTCTGGCATCCGGGCTTCTGTCTGGGTGCGACTGGTGGACAGCACTGTGGGGGAACGGGGTGAGTTAGGGTCTCCTCCCAGCTCCACAGACGGCCGGCCCCCTTCCCGCCCTCTGGGGGTCGTATGCATCAGCCCCCCACCGAGTGCGCCTCCAGGCTCTGGCGGGACCCTGGCTGCCTGCTGCTGGTCACAAGTACCTGTGCTCAGCGCTCAAGGACCGTCCCCAAGACGCCGCCTCGACAGTTTAGGGGGACGGTGACCAGTAAGTTATTGGGCCATAAATTGCGACAGCCCAGGGGTCAGCCAACTTTTCTGTCAAGGGCCAGAGAGCAAATATCTTTAGGCTTTGCAGCTGCACGGGGTTTCTGTCTGTCCTCTTGCCCTCCTCCTCCTGGTCCATCCCTCTAGAACTGGAAAGGCCCGTCCTAGGCTGTAGAGATCAGGCTTTGGGCCACATCTGGCCCGTGGGCCGTGCGAGAGCCGGGCAGCGTCTGGGTCAGAGAGGCCCTCCCTTTTCGGAGGGCTTGGCTCGTGCGGTCAGCACACCTTAGGCCCCAGGTGGTTCATCTTCCACGGGAGGGCAGTCTGGCCCCAGAACAGGAGGGCCCAGCCTGTCCTCTTGAAGGTCCGCCCTCTACCCGCCAAGGCTGCCGGGTGGATGGTCCGGCTGCAGGAATCACGGCTGGGGCTGAGTGCTGACACACGCCAGGAGGGTTGTGGATGTGCACAGCTGGAGCTGGCCTGTGGGCTCTCCCTCTCGCAGTGCCCCTCACGCTGTGACCTGCACAGGTTCCCCCATTCATGTGGGGCTGATGGCCACTTGGGCGCCTGAGGTGGCCTCTGCAGTAGGTGCCCCTCAGGTCAGTGCCCTGACTTCCTGGCTCAGGCTGTGACTTAAGGACTCACGGGAGAAGTCGTGGAGGGCTGCTGGAGGGAGGCAGCTGGGGGCCGGGCAGGCAGGTGGGGGTGTGCGTGGGCGGGGGCTGCTGACCTGAGATCCTCGGAGTGGTTAGGGTGAAGCCCTCTGGCTGGGATGCCACAGAGGACACCAAGTGGTTTGGAGTCCGCTTCGATGCTGAAATCAGGGAAGCAGTGAGCGGGTGAGGGGCAGAGTGCAGTGTGGACTGGGGGGAGGGGCCGCAAGGTGAACGGGAAGGGCAGCGGGTGGGGGCGAGCAGGGTCATGTAGTGGGGGCGCGCCTGGCCTGACCCCGCCCCCGGCCGCGGGAGGAGCCCGGCTCACCTGGGAAAGGCACTGCCACGGATTTGTCGCCGTTGGGGTGCTCGACTCTGCACAGCAGGTGCTCTTCGGAGTCCTGGGGGATGCTTGAGAAAGGCAGGAGCACCTGGGAGGAGGCCGCGTACTTGCCCTCCCGCAGGACGGCCGGGAAGCTGTGGATGTTCTGGCTGCTGACACTGACGCTGTTGCTGTAGCTCCAGGAGAAGCTGATGGAGCTGGGCAAGAAGTCCCGGGCCAGGCAGCCCAGGGCCACCGGGTTCTCATCAGACAGGGGGTTCCCGCAGGAGACCAGGGGGAAGAGAGTCGGGGCAGACGGTCTCCCTGAGGACCCGAGAGAGAGGACAAAAGAGAAAGGGGGCGTGAGAAGTGTCTCTCGTGCCCTGCCGGTAGTTCGCGGGTCCGGGCGGCCCCACCTTCCCTCTGGGACACTGGAGCCGGCGCGGCCTCACTGCCCCTGGCTCAGCCACACTGCGCCCAGCCTGGGAGTCTGGGGTTGGAGGGAGGGTCTGAAGGTCACCGGTGAGGATGATGCAGACTCAGGTCCACCGGCCCTCAGCACACGCAGGTCACTGAGGTCGGCCCAGAGGCAGCCAGGACGGCCCAGCGTGACTCCCAGGGCTCAGCTGAGGTTAAACCCTCCCAAAGCAGCTCGTCCAAGTCGAGCCAGCCCAGCCAGTCCACTTCTGTGGGACCCATCTCAGTCCCCCTTGGTTAGCCCAGCCCAGCTCAGCCCAGTTCAGCCCCGCTCAGCCCAGTTCAGTGCAGTTCAACCCAGCTCAGCTCAACTCAGCTCAACCCAGCCCAGCCCAGCTCAGCTCAGCTCAGCGCAGCCCAGCCCAGCTCAGCTCAGCCCAGTTCAGCCCCACTCAGCCCCACTAAACCCGGCTCAGCTCAGTCCAATCCAGCTCAGCTCAGAAAGCCCGGTTCAGTCCGGTTTTGTCCAGCTCAGCTCAGGCCTGCTATGGGCAGCCAAGGGTAGCCCTGCACAGTCCTGAAAGCCCAGTGGCTCTAGCCGGAAATCGCCAGACCCACTTGCCTCGGCTAAGGCACCTGGTCCAGGAATCCCGCACAGCCGGGCTGGGCCCGGGGTCAGGTCCCTTTGTGCCCCTTGCTCTCTCCTCTCCCCGGAGTCCCTGCCCTCCCCTTCCCACTGGGCACCCGATTCCTCCGTGCCTGCCCCGGGCCCGGCCGGCTTCGGCTCCCAGCAGTGTCAGCCACCAACTTCCTAGGCTACCTGGGATAACGCTTGCTGGCGACTTCACATTCCCTAAAGCATCCCGCAAGAGCCTAGGCGCATTTGCCGTCATCAGAAGGAAGGCCCCAGTCTCTCTGGAATGGGCAGCACTGCTTCTGGGGGAGAGGAGAGACTCGGGGACGCTTCCCTCGGCGCCTTGGCCTTCCCGGGCACATGCCCGCGGCCCCAGCTCCTCTCACTCCCGAGTCTCAAGTGAGTCCGACTTGACAAAATCCCCTCCAGGAAAATCCTCATTAACAATGACGGGAAACGCATTTTATCTGAATTGCCGCGCACAGTTGTGCTGTTTATCCCAAAGGTCTGCAGAAAGCGGAGGCTGCTTTCCAGGGCACAGCAACGATCTAAAACCCAGAGCCGCGTTTCCCGCTTAAGCGAGGACACGGTAAGGGGTGCCCTGGTGTGTGAAGCACCTGGACCCACACAGGCAATAGTCAAAGACTGATTCCCCTTCAAGTGAAAACAAAAACGTCTCATACAGATTTCCCGGAGCAGCAAATCTGGCAGCGCTGGCAGCCTTCCTCTTACCTTTCCAGGCTCCCGGTCACTGGCAAGTCCCGGGAGGTCTTTGGCCTGGAAGAATTCCTCCAAGTCCCTTGAAAACGGCTGATTCACCACTAGCCCGCTGGCCGGTGGCGGAAGCCAGGACTGCCATCCCCTGCTCCGGGCGGTCCCAGGAGACCCCCAGCCACGGCGGGCCTGGAGGCACCCTCTCTCGGACCCTCCACGGGAGCTCCTTCCACGAAGACGCTGGCTGGGCCGATGACTCAGAACAGAGACGGCCCTTCCAAAGCGTCCTGAGTCCTTCCGGACCCACACCCGCCTGCGTCTCCTCAATCCACCAACCAACACGGTTAACTGAAATAATTCATGATGAATGCACACATTTCACCTAAAATCTGTCCTGAGCTGGATACCTGCAAAGAGGTCCTGAAAAGCACTGAGAGGAGGGCAACCGTATCAGAATACCAGAGTGTTTCTTAGTCACGAAGAGAAAATCGACCGGCTAAAGACTGTGGGCACACTCATAGTGCAAACAGCGCTTCGGGCATCGGAGGGTGGTGTGGGATTAATTACCTTGAAGGAATACCCCATTAGAACATTATACGAATGCATTGATAAAATGCACCTAAGACTATTTACTTTCTTAAATATTTACTTTGAAAATGAATATAAACGAGCAGTTGATAAGCTAAAACTGAAATAGATTCAAATAGTGAAAAGGGGAAAAAGGAGGCTGACAACCCCACGAGCACTGAACGGACCCTCTCACAGCCTCGGAAGGACCAGCCCTGCCGGCACCTTGATCTTGCTTCCAGCCTCTAGGCTGTGAGAGAATGAACTTGTGTTGTTTAAGCCTGGCCTGTGGTTCTTTGTTGTGACAGCCCTCAGACCCTCCTACAGATGCTGTCCTGAGCTGTCAGCCCCGTGGCCTGCATGAGAACCCCCCATCCCCACTGGGGGTGGCTGTGCTCTGTGGGACCCCCTCTTTGAATGTCCCACAGCCTGACAGGGTGGGCTGCAAAGGGCACCGTTTAATCAGAAATACGCACCGGGAGCCCACTGCCAGGGGAAGGGTTTCTCTGGGGACCCGTGTCCACTGCCAGCTCTCTTAGGCAGTTGCCTCTTCAAGCCCCTGCCACCCCTGTGGGCCCCCAGCACCCTGAAATTGCCTCCCAGGGGAGATGGCTCCCAGATCGTCCTCACCTGGGCCACCTCCTCTGGTCCCTGTGCCTCCTCTCCTGTCCCACCGCCTGCTGCCACAGCTGGCCCAGACTTCTCTGCATCGCCTGGCTCAGCTCCCGTCTCCGAGTGCTAATCCCTGGCTCCCCTACCTCCTGCCAGCTGTCCCTCTTTCTGGGCCTTTCCTCTGTGTCTCTCCCGGCTGTTTCACCCGAGATTTCTGCATCCGCTTCCGAGCTCCGTCACTGTCTGCTGGGCAGCGGGTGAGGGCCCGCGCTCCTGCAGGGCACACGGCCGCTGCGCACGTGCTGGGCGCCCCTCCTGAGCCCCACCCGCACACACCAGGCACTCCCAAGGTCAGACAAGCCCTCCTGTGGCTGGGCTTGCTAGGAACAGAGACAGAGTGACAAGGCCTCACGCGGGGCTCGTAGCGGCGTCCCCGCTGACGCACACAGGGACCCCGGCTCAGGCTGCGCTGGGAGACCAGGCCGGGGGTCCTCTCCAGCTCAGCTGTCTTTCTTCCTCTGGACCAGCACTGAGACCCAGCCTGGCACGTCCCCTATGGGCCTGGGAGGAGACGCACGGCCCTTTCCAAAGACCCCTTTGGAATTAGGGTCAGCTTTCGATATACACAGCACACAGGAGTGTGGCTTGAGAAAAACCCTTCACAAGGAAGCCGTATCACAAGATAAAATGTACATATTTATTTCAAGGCCACGAGCGAGACATTGCAAAGCAGGGCCGGGCAGAGCCCACGGCTGCGGGCCCCATGCTTGGCCATGGCGTTTGGCCACGTCGGGAGAAGCCGGTTTTGTAGAGCTGGAAGCTGGAGAGGGGCACGGGGAAGATTTCAGTACAAGTGGACAAGCCACGCAGACCCCCGGCCCCAAGGTGGCTCCCCTCTCGCTCCGTCTCTGGTCCCCCATGTCCTTGGCTGGCCGTCACTTCACCTGCAGGCGACAGACACCACGTGAGTGGGGTGGGGTCCCTGGGGGCCACGTGCCGCCCGCCCCTCGTGGCCGGGCGCCCACCTTGAACAGGGTGACCGTGGTGCTATAGAAGAGGCCCAGGAGGAAGAGGACGATGAAGGTGGAGGCCGTGGTGTTGAGGTTCTCAAAGCCTTCCTCCTCGGCGCTCACTTCACCCTCTGCAGGAGACACGGCACAGTGGGTGAGCTCGGCCACGGCGCCCGCAGGGCCCACCCTGGCTGCCCCTCGGCCGTGCGGCCACCGGGAGCGCTGGGGGCGCCGCAGAGGCAGGCGGGCGGGCGGGAGGGCACGTGCACTCCCGCGCCAGCCCTGCTGTGGGGCTGGGAGCTCCCGGGCTTGCCAGGCGGGGTCTCGGGCAGGCACGGCAGGCCACTGACCACCCTATCCAGGCCAGGCAGGCGCAGAGCGTGGCCCAAGCTGAGCAGAGAGGCGACCCCGAGCACCTTGTCCCAGGAGACCTGGGGTGGCAGAGAGCACGACCGAGCAGCACAGTACGCACGGGGTGCGGCCTGTGTCCTGGACTCCCCTGGGGGTCGTAGGGCCACTTGGGGCTGAGAGGCAGGGGGTGGGCGTCCTGTCCCCTGCAGTTTGGGGTGGGCCCCGCGGCCAGTGAGGATCAGCCCCGGGGGCAGGCGGCTGTCTGTGCTGAGGGGCCCGTCCTTCCAGCCTCCCTCCCTCTCCTTCTTGGGGCCAATGGCACACGGGAGAGGCCGTGTGGGGCACTGGCTGGCTTGTCTGCCCCACCGGCACTCAAGGCTGGGGGACCAAGGGGCCAGACAGACCCTGAGCCCCCAGGGAGGGAGACATTAGGACGACAGAAGGAGGACATTCTGTGGGGTCTGCAGACCCCCTCACTGACAGACCCTGGGGTCATCGGGGGCTCAGGCCCCTAAAGGGCCAGGAGCCCAGGAGGGTCGGGAGGCGGCCTGGAGGGGCGGTGGTGTGCTGGACCCAGGAGACCTGCTCGGCCCCCACTCCCCTCCCTGCCCACCTGGCTCTGTGCCCACCATTTCCAGGCCAGTGTTTGCAGACAGGGCCCCTGCAGCTTCCTACTCCAAGGAAGCCCCTCCTGGGACAGCCTCCCGCTGCCTCTTCACAGGGGGAGGGGATGGGGGCGCTGCTGCCCTCACAAGGGCCTGGACCGGGAGAGGCACCCCTCCAGGCCACGGGCCCGCGCCATCCTGAGGAACTGCAGCTGGCCGGGCCATGGTGGGCCTCGGAGCCCGCTACCCTGGGGCTGGGGATGGTGGCCATGGCAGGAGTCCAGGATGGGCCGGCCCGTGGACACACCCCCAAGCTGAGACAGAAGGACAAGCAGAGCTTGGGCGCGACGCCCGGCAGCCAGAGTGGTGCAGAGGAACACCGCCGGAGGGGGCAGGCGCGTCTGCCAAAAGGCAACGAGCGATGATGGCTGTGCGAGGGTCGGCATCTGTGTCCATGTGTGCAAGCCTTTGCGTGTGCCGTGATTCGTGTGTGTGCACAAGCACGAGTACATCTGTGTATATGTGTCCATATGTCTGTGTGTGCATGTCTCAGTGTGTGTCTGCGTGCCCACGACTCGTCCACGAGCACGCAGGTGTGTCTGTGTGTGAGCGCCCATGTGCACGTGCCTATGTGTGCCTGTGACTGTGCGTGCATGTGTGAGTGTGCGTGTACCTATCTGTGTGTGTCTCTGTGTGTCCACGTGTGCATGTGTCCATGTCTTTGTGTGTGTGTGTGCCCATGTCCTTCACACGTGTCCGTGTCACGTGCATCCATGTCTCTGTCCATGCATGTGCCTGCCTGTGTGTCCGTGCGCACACACGTGTCTCTCTGTGTGCGTGCCCATGTGCATGTGTGTCTCGTGTGCGTGCACGCGCGTGCATGTGTTGCACACCTGTGTGCCCCCGGGGTGGCTGCAGAGGTAGCTGGAGGAGCAGTGAGCACAGGCTTGGCTTTGCTGTGAGCATCCTGCAAGGGACACCAGGGCTTCCGGGGGGGGGTCGGAGGCACATGCGGAGGCGGGGGCGAGGGCAGGAGGGGAGGGCGGTCTGCTGGGCGGGGGCAGCACAGCCATGGCCCCCGCGGGGAGAGCACTGCTCACTCACAACCGGCGTCTTTTGAACGGATCTTTTTATTTCTAATTTTTATAAAATGCAACATCTCACCCACTGACACGGTTAGTTTGCACGCACGCACGCACACACACAGCGACGGTCACCCAGGGGCTCTGGCCCCGGCCTGAGCGGGCGGCCGGGTGGTCAGTAGCAGGTGCTGGCTGTGTCGGACATGACCAGTGACACGTTGTACAGGGTGGGTTTACCAGTGGCCTTGTCCACGGTCCTCTCGGTCACCATGTGGGGCAGGGCCTCGTGGCCCACGACGCAGGTGTAGGTGTCCCCGCTGCTCCAGTCCTCTTCGCTCACAGTCAGGATGCTGTACACGAAGTAGAGGCCGGGGGCCTGGGGCTCGGGCGCCGGGGCACTGGTCACGTACTTGTCAGAGGACATGGGCTGCCCCTTCTGCAGCCACTGCACGAACACGTCTGCGGGCGAGAAGCCCTTCACCAGGCAGGTGACGGAGGCGGACTCCCGCAGGCTCAGCTGTTCCCGCGTTGGTGGCTGCACGTACACGGACGGCATGTGCTTGGCGACCTCTGTGGGGCGGACACAGTGGTGAGATCGGGTTGCGGGCGAGAGGGATCCGTCCTGGACCACGGGGAGCGCAGGGGCTCTCCTGGTCCCGCCTTGCTGTCCTCAGACCCCAGAAGCCGTGGGAGAGCCCGGGGCGGAGGGAAGGAGGCCAGCGCAGGCTCACCTGTGGGCCTGGAGATGTCGCGCTTCAGTGGCGAGGGCAGGTCTGTGTGGGTCACCGTGCACGTGAACCTTTCTCCAGACTCCCATTCCTCTGCGCAGACAGAGGCCTCACCCACGGCGCTGAATGTGCCATTGGCGTGGCTCTCAGAGACGTTGGTGAGGGTCTGCAGGACCTCGCCATTCTGGCGGGTCCAGGAGATGCTCAGGCTGTCATAGGTGGTCAGGTCTGTGACCAGGCAGGAAAGCTTGGCTGACTTGGTGAGGAAGATGCCAGCGAAGGACGGGGGGATGGTGAAGATCCTGATGTGGGGGGACGGGGCTGGAGGTGGGAAGAGAGTTGGTTGGAGTGAAATCAGGCAGAGGAACAGTGCAGCCCAAAGAGCAGGCGCCGAGTTGGCTGCGTCCCTCGTGAGCCCAGGGTCCCGCTGCAGGAGGACAGTGGGCCCCCAGCTGCCCCGCACACAGCCCCTCCCTGCCCTGGGCTGCTCTGAGAAGCCAAGGCTCAGGATGCTGCTGGCACGTCGGGAGCGCTGTATGCAGACCTGTGTGAGGGTCCCCACCCAGCCCGGGGGCTGCACTCACAGGAGCCGCACATAGAGGACACGTTCTTCTGGAAGGTCCCCTCGCTGTGTTCCACTTCACAGGTGAACACGCTCTGGCTGAGCCACTCGCTCTCCGTGATGGTCAGCGTGCTGTAGGTCCTGAAGGTCACGGGCGAGGAATGTACAGTCTCCACTGGGCCTTCGCTGATGCCAGACACCACCCGCTTCCCGTCACGAAACCAGGAGAAGGAGATCTGCTTGGGTCTGAAGCCTGAGGCCTGGCAGATGAGTCTGGACGTGCGCTGGGGGTTGCCGGAGAAAGCGTCTCGGGGGGGCATGAAGATGCCCACGTTGGGAGGCTTGTTAGGCGCCAGCACTGCAGAGAAGGACAAGGCATCAGCTGCGCCTGGCCTGACCCCGCCCCCGGCCGCGGGAGGAGCCCGGCTCACCTGGGAAAGGCACTGCCACGGACTTGTCGCCGTTGGGGTGCTGGACTCTGCACAGCAGGTGCTCTTCGGAGTCCTGGGGGATGCTTGAGAAAGGCAGGAGCACCTGGGAGGAGGCCGCGTACTTGCCCTCCCGCAGGACGGCCGGGAAGCTGTGGATGTTCTGGCTGCTGACACTGACGCTGTTGCTGTAGCTCCAGGAGAAGCTGATGGAGCTGGGCAAGAAGTCCCGGGCCAGGCAGCCCAGGGCCACCGGGTTCTCATCAGACAGGGGGTTCCCGCAGGAGACCAGGGGGAAGAGAGTCGGGGCAGACGGGCTCCCTGAGGACCCGAGAGAGAGGACAAAAGAGAAATGGGGCGTGAGAAGTGTCCCTCGTGCCCTGCCGGTAGGTCGCGGGTCCGGGCGGCCCCGCCTTCCCTCTGGGACACTGGAGCCGGCGCGGCCTCACTGCCCCTGGCTCAGCCACACTGCGCCCAGCCTGGGAGTCTGGGGTCGGAGGGAGGGTCTGAAGGTCACCGGTGAGCATGACGCAGACTCAGCTCCACCGGCCCTCAGCACAAGCAGGTCACTGAGGTCGGCCCAGAGGCAGCCAGGACGGCCCAGCGTGACTCCCAGGGCTCAGCTGAGGTTAAACCCTCCCAAAGCAGCTCGTCCAAGTCGAGCCAGCCCAGCCAGTCCACTTCTGTGGGACCCATCTCAGTCCCCCTTGGTTAGCTCAGCCCAGCTCAGCCCAGTTCAGTGCAGTTCAACCCAGCTCAGCCCAGTTCAGCCCAGCTCAGCTCATCCAGTTCATCCTGGCTCAGCCTGGCTCAGCCCGGCTCAGCCCAGCTCAGCCCAACTCAGCTCAGCTCAGCCCAGCTCAGCACAGCCCAGCCCTGCTCAGCCCAGCCCAGCTCAGCCCAGCCCAGCTCAGCTCAGCAGAGCTCAGCACAGCACAGTTCAGCCCAGCACAGCTCAGCACAGCACAGCTCAGCCCAGCACAGCTCAGCTCAGCCCAGCACAGCTCAG